ATACAAATGAAGACAACACAGAGCCTGACAGGATGAGTGTTTGGGGAGGCAGTAGAGAGAAGTGATTCATATTTTTAATTTACTGTACAAATAGACTAGCAGGGCTGGGGGGAAAAGGGCCATCCAAGTGGAGTGGGGATTTTTTTTTTTTCCCACTGTTGTTTTGCTGTGCTTTAAGCACACAATGACTATTAAAGTCAACTGCCCATATAATAGGACATCTCCTACATGACTGCTCTCCGAGAGGCAGCTTGCTGTAGCAATAAATTCTAGGAGTGCCATCTGCTGGTGCGCACCCTCTGCCGGGCACCCTTGTCTCGGCCACCCCAACCCCAGGCACTCACACATGGATCAGTCCCGAAACCCCGCACCCGCTGCAGAGACCTGCTCCTGGAGAGCACTGGCCATAGACCTGCTGACTCTAATACAGAATTATTATGTTTTTCTACAGGGTAAGAAACACTTCCCCCCCCCCCTTCACAGATACACCCATAAATTGTTCATCATCTTTTTTTTAAAAAGAGTTTGAGGGGGTCTGGGTTGATGCTGAGGAAATATTTTAGGCTTTTAAAAGAAATAAATCACTGTTCTCCACCCCTCCAAAGTGCTGGGTTTCAGCTGAGTGCCCATTACCCAGAACACAGCAAAAAAAAATCACCCATTTTAGGTTTTTTTCCCCTGCAAAAAGGCACTTGCCCAGAGTCTGTGTGAGCCTCAGGCTCAGCTGGAGCTGGCTCTGCACTTTAAGGCGATGAAAGCCACGGGATCTGCCTAGGAACACTTTGCTGTGGGATGACTTAGAGGCAGGAGCAAGCCACAGCATGAGGGTGTGCTTGGGGCTTTGGCACCTTGCCCCCTTCCCCAGGGGGCTTCTGTCACCACTGTGCAAAGCAAAACCAAGACAACGCACCAAGAGGACCCCTTCCTGGCTGAAATCACCCTTCCTGAGCAGAGGATGTCCTGGGACTGTGCCAAGAGCTTCTCACTGCATCCCAAAACTGTTCATCTGGGGAATGTGTTCCTAATTTTGGGGGTGCAATCTGTGCTCTCTGGGTCACTTGAGTCCTGGCAGTTATTACCATGAGCAGTACCTGTGAGTCCGGGGCTGGTGGGGCTGGTGGTCAAGAGGGCTTGGTCCCAACTCCTTGCTCCGTCACTTGCCATAACCTCCTCCTTTCCTTTGCTACTTTTTCCTTTCCTCTTCTGTGCCCACCTCCCGTACCACCCCCAGGGTGCCTTGGGTTAGCTCCAGCCTATTGCTTTAAGCTTTGCCAACCCCCAAATGCACCCAGGGTCTCTTTAGACCCCTGCCCAGGGGCACCAGGGAGGGCAGAGGGGCTGGTGCAGGACAAACTGTGTATCCAAAGGGAAGAAGTCCCCTCCTCTTTCTGCCCCTCTGTGCTTTTACTGAAGGCATATTTGTACACAAGGCTGTGTGTAGGGGGATATGGAGTGCCCTGGTTGAATGGCCCTGAACAGCTGGAGCCAGCAGGGGTGAGGGAAATCAACCCCAAAACACCCCAGGCCCAGACTGCTTGTTGCAAACCAACCTCCCCCAGGGCAGTGCCTCCCATGTCCACCATCCTCCTCCCATGTCCCCCATCCTCCTCCCATGTCCCCTCCGCTCGAGGCCAGGGAAAACGTGCATGAACCCACCTGCACCAAAAGCGACAACAGTGCCAGCCTCGCCCAGGACGGGTTGTGCTGGGGCTCAGCCCTCCACTGCAGAACCTTGAGTTGCTTTGGGAGTCCCCAAGGCCAGGACATGAGACTGCGGTGCAGTTTTGGGTATCACCAAGCAGCAAGTTGCCTTATGGAGCTGCTCAGCCCTGGACCAATTGGTAAGACATGGTGGGGACCAATCCTGCACCCACCCCCACAGGGCAGAGGGGTGCTGCTCCAGCTTCCCTTTATCCATGTGAAAGAAGGCAGGAGCAGGGTTTTCACCCTGCTCAGAGCACACAGGAACCGCACCCCTTTCAAAACTGGTCCCTGATGAAGCCTCTGCAATCAGGTGAGATTTTGGGGGAGTGAAGGCACTGCCATTGAGATGACAGGGACAGTTCACTGCTAGGGCACCAGCTGAAACTAGTGCAGGAAGCTTTCAGCCTCAGAGGCTTAGGGGTTCCCCGTCATTAGAAGGATCCATCCCCCAGGAGCCCATCCCCGCTGGAGCCATAGGGACCATGAGAACTGGCAGGGCGTGAATGCTCCTTGGCCATGGTCTGGGGACACTTGCTGCCTCACCAGCCACAAGTGCTGGCACAGCGACACCAGGATGTGTCCAGCAAGCTTTCATCAGCTTCCCAGTTAGGCTGTGACCATTTGCCTTGAGCAAGGCACCCTCGAGGAGAGCTTCCCTGCAGGATCTGAACACATCCAGAGATGGATCGTCACCATTTTCTTGAGGAACCCATTTCAAAGTATCTGGAGAGTTCAAACCAGGACCTTCTTTCCCACTCCAGTTTGGCTGGGGTGAGCTCCAGCCTGCCACATGTGGATCTTAATGCTTAAACTCACCCACCCTTTCTTTAGCTTTGGGTATGTCACGAGAAGGCACTTGTGCATTTGAAGAAGGTCACCCTCATCTTTGTTTCTGCAAACCCTAATAGGATCAGGAGTATTTCCAGGCACCAAAGTAATTTCTTGGACTCTTCTTTGCACCTTCTCCAAACTTTCAAGGTCTCTTTGGACACTGCTAGAGGATACAGCCTTACCTGCACCAAGCAGAACCAGTGCTTTCGGAGACCTGAATACGGAGACCTGGTTTGGACATGGGGAAGCCTGGAGCCCACCCAGACATACTCTTCCCAAGAAGCCTGCAGTGAAGCAGCTGGGAATGCCTCCCTGGGCAGGCCAAGCAGAGAAGAAGCCCAAATCCTGCTTTTGTAAGAGTACCAGACCCATGGTGGGGGACCAGCTTGGACTGACAGAGATCCTGACACCATATTCTAAAGAAAAAGCTGATGAGATACTACTGTCCCATGACCATGGGGCTTCTTCACTCCTGCTCTTCCAAGTCCTGGTGGAAGGAGGATGGACAAGTCCCTTGGCATGGTACCCTCACAAAGATCCCCAAGAACAAATGAACCCAAAAGGCACCATAGGATTTTGTCAGTGACCTCCAGGCCTTGGAAAGAGGGGAATTCTGGCTCTGGTGGTGTCTTAAGCTGTGGCAGAAGTGGGTCCCGGCCCCATGTTTCCCAGGTCTGGCCCATCTCACCAGCCAGCACAGAGCAGTCCTTGGCATAGGGCAACGCTATGGCGCCTTGGCCACACCAGGACTCTGGAATGGGGGGCTGCTCACAGGGGGGTGATTGCCTCCCACGTGGAGGGCAGGGGGCATCTTCCAAATGGCCCTGCATGCTGTGTGAGAAAGATAAATAAATACCAGAATAAATAAATACAAGTGGCAAAGAGGCCTGAAATGATGCTGTCGTTTGCTGGGAATGAGAGACACAAGTGTAATTTAGGTTTTGATATTATGAAAGTCTCGCTGCTCTAAAACAGCAGGGCACTCAGTGCCTCATTAATAAAGGATAAACTTGGAGTCTATTTACAATGCACTTTTTGGGGTTATTTACACTCCATTATACATATGTAATGCTGCACATATTTACCGCTCTGTTCTGCTGCTGAGAGCAGCCAAGTCGGGAGGGAGACGGAGTGGGAAGCGACTGATGCTGTGGAGCCATGACCCCTGCTTTGACTGATGTCCTTTAAACAGCTCGAGGTGCAGGAGAGCCCCAGCCAGGGGCTGGGATGGGGTACTGAGGAACCCAGTATGGCCTAGTCCCTGTCTCCATGGGCCCAGTGCCCACACACCCCTGGAGGCACCCTGAGGCTAAAGGATGAGCTCCTCACATGGGCTGGAGCCCAGCACACCAACAAGTGACCATGAGTACCAAACATGAAAGCTGTGGGGCCATCACAGAGTGGGGAGCTGTAAAAAGAACGGCTAAATTATCTTTATTAAAATAAATCACGTCTGTGCTGGCACTAGAGGGTTTTGGCCATGCAGCCCTCCCCACCATCCAGCTTCTACCTCTTACCAGAGCAAAATACTGTCATTTACCTGCAAATAGCAGCTCCCTGAGGGTCTTCTGGCTTGGGAGCCCCTGACCCCATAGTGTTTGTGGGAGCTGCTGAGAGGGTCCTAGGCCATGCGAGTGCCATGCCCAAGGCAGTCCCAGGAAATGGGGTCACCCCCAACACAGGAACCAGGGCAGAGTCATGGGAGAGGTTGTGCTTGAAGAGCATCGTGGGGTCACAGCAATTCATGGGGTGTAACAGGGAGATGTAGGTGCGCTCTGGACTTCAGCAGAGTTTGGGAGGGTGCAGGGGTCCCACGGGAGCACTCTCTGCAGGGCTGGGCAGTGAAGGGCTGACAGCAGGCAGGGGGGCAGAGAAGGACATGGTAACCCCCAGCTCTGAGCTGCTCCATGTCCTTTCCTGTGTTTGCATGACCAACATGGAGTGAGATGCAAGAGCCCGGGAGCCACTCTGACCATGCGTCCTAGGAAATGGGGTGACTCTGACCTTCACAGCCAGGCACAGCAGGGAGGGGGACAAGCCCCCATCCCATCCTGCTGCTCCCCATGGGCGCTGGGGAAGCTCCCACTCGTGCCAGCATACCCCAGCTCACTGCCATCCCAGCTTCCACTTGTCAGATGCCAGCTCTGGAGGCAATGGTCTTTATTAAGCACCTTGTGCAGACAGCTCTGGGCAAGTCCACGTGCCTGGGAGGGATGTGAACCCTCTGCCTCCAGGAGGTCCCTCTGCCTCTGGGAAGGCGTTCCTTCCAGCAGGGGGTCGGTGCAGCTCTGGCACATCATTGGAGCTCATCCTGGCCGCAGGCTGCAGTGTGGTGAGATGTCCTGGCAGATGCAGACCTGATCGAGTCTGAGCAAACTGGCCCTCACTTCCCTCCCCAGCCCAGAGCCTCTTCTGCCACCCCCACCCCACAGCCTTCCCTCCCACAGTGGGAAGCGAGGGGCAGGTCAAGGCAGGCTGGAGCCGGAGCCCTCCAGGGAGCTGCTCTCCAAGGCCCCATAGCCATTGAATTTAATCATCCTGATGAGGTGGGCTGGGCCAGAGAGGAAGGAGCGGCGGGTGGCGAAAATGTGGCTGATCTCCATGAAGGTTTTGTTCTTGGTCTCAGGGACAACGAGGTAGATGTACAGGGCCACCAGCAGGCAGACACCGCAAAAAGCCAGGTAGCAAAAGGCACCGGCTGACATCTGGAGACAACAAGAGAGCAGGGAGGGGACAGAGAGCCAGGCACCCTTGAGCTGGCCATGGCTTGAGACAGCGTTCCTTCTCATCACTCTTCCCTGGGCTGGCTTTGGCCAGCAATGAGCTGAGACAGGAGCACGGGCATTCCTTGGGCTAAGCCTGGCTTGGCATCCCATCCTTGGAGAGCCATGTCCATCCCCTCCTCCTCCCACAGCCCCTCCCGAATCAGTACCTGCAAGAAGGGGAAGATGAAGCCGACAGTGAAGTTGCAGAGCCAGTTGAGGGACCCCCCCACGATGTAGGCGGCCGGGCGGTGTGACTGGGTGAAGAGCTCGGCTGTCATCAGGAAGGGGACACCAGCTGCAGAGGGAGGGGACAGATGCAGGGTATGGGGGACAGGCAGCCTCAGGCATCCCTGGGGTTAACAGGTCCCGCCCATCTCAGTCCTGTGGCCAAAGGGCTGGAGCCCAGCAAGGAACACAGGTCAAAGGGGTGGTGTTGGAAGAGCTGGAGGAGATGGGGAGCATGGGGACGGGTGGACCTTGTTGGGTGCTGAGGCCAATTTCACAGTTTTACTGGAAAGTTTCAGACTGAGTCAATATCAAGGTGGAACATTTCATCTGGATCTTCATTTTTCAACAACTTGCCTAAATGTTGATATATTAAATCTCATATAGACCACAGGCACAGAGAAACATGTTCCTGGCTTCCTCCATAATGCCCTTCCCAGCGTCCCTTGATCCAAATGGTTAGAAAATTTCATTCTATTGATTAGCTAAAGGCTCAGATGTTGTGGCTGATTTAGGCAAGAAAGAAGCAACCACATTTCTGAGCATCAGAATTTCCCACAGGACACAGAAATGCCATTTTCCAACTGGCTTTTCCCATGTACAGTGAAAAAAAAAAAAAAAGAATGACTGAATAAGATTGCCCAAGCCAACCTGGCTACTAAAAACTGGACACGGGCTGTGGGTATTTCTCCTGGAAGGACTCGGCCCCTCCTGCCATGGGCCTCTGAGCCGGCAGCCCTGGCTCCCAGGTTTGCTGCTTTTCTGGAGGGCAGGATCCGAGGTCTGGGACACATCCCAGGGCACACAGGGATGTGGCAGGGGACTGTATTTGACACGATGACATGCCCAGAGTCCCACTGCCTGGGACAGGGCTGCCTGGGACCTCTTGATAAAAGATGTTCCAAGGGAAAAGATAAACCAATAAAAAAGTGGTAAGAAGTGAAGGAGGAGTGGAGCCCCTGACGGACTTTTACTCACAGCTCACCCAGAATACAGATATATATTTTTTTGTTTTAAAACTCCTATTCATCATTTGTGAACAATGAGCCATTAAAATCCTAATTAAAGATGTAATTACAGTGAATAAAGTCTGGGTTGAGGATGAATTATAGATCTGTTAACAGCTCTGCTAATACATCAGCTGGGTAAACTAGTCCAGGTTTCACTCCTGGTTGTCCGAACTGGCACTTGTTCCTACTCTTGGTTAAGGGCAGGATGATGCTCACCAGCTGCACTGCAATGGGAGCAGGTGACACCTCTGGAGAGGTCTGGGGAACCCCCACGGCTTTCCCCCGTCTTGGTCCAGGAACAGGGAGGTGGAGCATGCTCCAAGGACATGAGGGGCTTGTGGTGGGGTCTTGCTCATGTGGTGTAGTGTGATAAACCAGGACCTGGCTGCAGGGAAGGGGCCAGAGCACCGGTCCTGCTGCCTGCAAACCCTGCTGCTTTCCACTCCCGCCAGCCACAGACTCACCTGGTCCCATGCAGAAGCCAGCGATGATGCCGATCACACAGGCGACGCCGACGTAGCGCATCCAGGGCAGGGCAGTCTGCAAGGGGACACAGGGCTGGGGGACACCACTGGGGTGATGGCCCCAGGCTTCACACCCAGCATCCCCAGAATGGGGCTTCATGCCCACCCCTTGATTTGGTTGCAGCCCTCAGGAACTGTGGCCATGTGTGGGGCAAAGCTGGTGAGATTCGGCCTCAGAAAAGCTGTGAGATTTGGCTTTGGCAAAACTTGGCATCTTGTGATGCTGAGAGATCGTCGGAGCTGTGAGAACATCCCCCAGGAGTAGGCAGCAGAGGAAGGGTGCTGCGGACCTCTCCACCTCCCCTGGCATTTCACAGCCACCTCTCTGGGAACAACTATTTCCACAGAAAATCTACCAGAAGCCACAGGATTTTTCTCACGTGGATTTGTTTTTTTCTGTCATTCTTTGCTCTGAATTTTCCTTCCCTTGAACTTTGAAGGGAAAACATTGCCTGGAAAAAGCTGTCTCACCTCTCTTTTCCATGCACACTCCCTCCCCCGAAGTGATACCCACCCCTTCATCACCCAGCCCTCATTAATGCACCCAGGACTCCAGCCCCAGCCATGGCAGTGGCCCAGAGTGGTGGCAGTGGCTAGACCCTACCTGTAGCATCAGGGAGACGGTGACGCCGGCCAAGCAGATGCCCATAGTGCAGAAGCCAGTGATGATGAGGGGCCGTCGGCCCAGCTTCTCAATGGTGAAGCACTGCCAAGAGAGAACAGAGACTGACGGGGTGGTGGGGAGCTCCCTACCGGGACTGGGGCATCCCCTGAACCACAGATCCAGCTGGAGGTGGAAGGATGCTCCTGGTGGCATCTGGGGCTTTGGGGCAGCCCCAGATCAGAGCTCCAGGGTTGGGAATGGGGCATGGGAAGGGCTCCTGGGTCTTGGGGTGAGCATGCACCAGGCAGCAGCTGGGACCCACAGAGCTCTGTTAGGGTGCAGGGCAGGGGCTGGCAGGGGTGGCCCCATGGCTGCATTTGCACTGGCATCGAGCAGAGGTGCTGGGCTTCGCATGGGGTGTTTGCGGGGTAGCGAGCAGAGGAGGCAGAGAGCAGGCAGAGGAGGTAGGGTGCGGGCAGGCAGCAGCAGTGGCTGGAGCAGGCAGGGTATTGACAGCAGAACAAATGCCTGTAATTTTATAACCAATCTCGGCACGTCCGTCGGGGGCCGTTTGTGGGGCCACTCCTGAGCAATCCGGCTGCAAGCCGGGTGGCTGCCGGGGGCTGGGGTGGCCCCACAGCCAGGTTAGTGGAGAAGGGGGAATCTTTTGGAGGGGCCGAGGAGTGAGCAAGGTGTGACTGGTGGGCCCCACTTTGCTGTGGGCTGAGCTATGGGGAGAGGGGAGCAAGCTCCTGCTCTGCCCCAGTTTTCTGGGAGCAGCCACCCCCTATCCATCTCTCTAATTGTCAAGGAGCGGATTTAGTGCCGGGTGGCTTGGGCTAGTCCCGGGTGACACTCACAGATGGGACGAGGGCCATAAATCTGCCTGGCCCAGTGCTAACTCTCCAGCTAAATGAGGCCTGGCTGGGGGGGCTGGGGCTGCTAGCCCAGAGCCAGGCCAGTGTTTGGCTGAGGAGGGCAGATGGAGACATGTGGCTCTGCTAATGGAGGGACAATGAAATCGGGAGCCAGAAGGAACTGCATGGCCCACTTCATCTCCTCCCGACTTGCCTGCTACCCACTCATCCCGAATTTCTTCCACTCCTCCTATATATGACCCCACAAACTGACCCTCTCCCATCTCATCTTCTCCCTACATTTCCCTGCCAAACCCTCTGCACCCCAGCAACGAGGCTGTGCTGTGGCATGGATGGCATCTGGGGTCCATCCAGCAGTCCCCATTTGATGATACTGGACAAGGCTCTGGCACTGAGGGGCTGGATTAATCGATCCATCACTCACCCCGATCAGCCCCGCGACAACTTCGATGGCACCGGTACCCACGGTGGTGTAGGGGATCTGGGACGCAGGGATCCCGGCGTTCTCGAAGATGGTGTTGGTGTAAAACCAGATCTGCCAAGGAGGGGGCTTGGTGTGAGCCAGGGCAGGGGGATGGAGCCATGGGGCACCTGATGAAATGAGTTGCCAAGTCTCAGCTCAGCTTCTGCAGAGCCAGGTCCTGTGTGAGGACCTCACAGGGCTTACGGCATCGATCCCTGAGAGCTGCATGCCAGCGTTCACCACCACCACCGAGAGGGTTTGCCAGCAAACAGAGCGGTCCCGCAGCAGCTGCCAGATGGAGACCATTTCCACAGAGGAGAGTGACCGCTGCTCCTCCTTCATCTCCTCAATCACATCCTGCACCTCAGGTGTCCCCAGGAACTGGTGCAGAGCTGTAGGGAGAGCGGAGGTCACAGGCATGCATCTCCCCATCGCAGGGGGAATGCTCATGCATATGACAGAGCTTGGCTCTGCCCTGGTTCAGCTTCCCCAGGGGACCTCCCTAACCCATGGGGCTGAACATCCATAGGAACTGAGGAGATGCCTCATGTCGTGGACACCATGGAAATGCTTTGGTGCAGCTGGGTGGGAGAGAAGACCCAAACCATAAGGAGTATGGTGGGCTGTCAGGCCTGGGTATGGAAGCATGCTATGAGGTTACACCTTGGCTTCAGGAGACTTTGGACCAGCACACAACATCTCCTGGAGCCAGTTCCCACTCCAGGACACCCTCTCACCTTTGGTGGCCCCACAGACGTTGTTCCTCTCTATCAGCAGGTACCGTGGGCTCTCAGGGAAGCAGTGCAGCAGCAGGAGCTGGAGGGAGGCAGGGATGACCACCACTGACAGGAAAAGGGGCCAGAACCTGTCCTGAGAAGAGTCAAAACAGGACATGTCATAGGGAGGACAGAGCAGGGTCCAGCACATATGGGCTGGGGTATTGTGCTCACCTCACCCAGCAGCTCCGGAAGGCCCAGGACCTGTGCGAAGAAAACACCCAGGCAGATGAAGATGCTGGGCACAAGGCCCAGGAAACCCCGCAGGTTCTTGGGGGCGATTTCTCCCAGATAGAGGGGCACCACACTGAGACAGATACCTGGGGGGACAGGAGGGACAAGGATGAGAGGGGCAGAGCGGAGAAGGGCGCCCATCCAGATCCTCAGTGCGTCACCTCCCATGCCCAATACCATCCACAGTGGGGACACCATGGCCAGGGAGGTGGCCCTGTCTGCCCCATGGTGACCTCCCAGTTGCAGAGTCTGTGGCCATGGGGAATAAGAAGTCTTCTCCAGCCCGCTGCAAATGGGCGGTAGGGGACCAAGCCATGAGGCTCATGCAGCCCAGGCAGCACCTACCTGAGTGGATCCCCATGATGTAGCGGCCAATGATCACCATCTCAGGGGATCCCAGCTCCCGGCTGAAGCCCATGAAGCCACTGGCCAGGAGGACAAGGAGAGCACTGCGGCTTAGCACACCGTTCCTAGCAGGGCACAAGCAGTAGGGCAGCCCCTCCAGCTCCAACCTGTCCCTTGGCCACCCCGTCCCATGCCACCCCCTTACCTGCCATACCGCTCCACCAGCGCTCCCACCAGCAAGGAACCCACCAGGCCACCCAGAGCAAAGATGGAGACAGTCAGAGAGTACAGGATGGTCAGCAGACCAGGGTCCATCCCATGCCCATACCGCTGGGACCATGTGGCATTGTAGAAAGCCTTTATGTGCTGCAGGGCAGGGAAAGACACAAAGAGATGCGTTGGGAGAAGGGGGAAGACAGGCCAGAGGGGAAAATGCCACAGGTTTAACAGCACTGTGGGAGATGCAGGGCAGACGTGACTGGAGATGACTGGGAAGTGCTGGTTTGGTTGCTCAGCCAGCCTCAGCACCAGAAGGGCTTAAGGACAACCTAAAGATGCCACAAGCAGAGGTGGAACTGGAGCAGGAGCAAGGAGGTTGTTGGGAGCTTTCCCCAGCCCCTGCTTTCTTGGAGGGGGAGCCAGTTTGGGGGGTATATAAGAACAGAGACTCCCATGTCCCTTCCACACTGTCTCTCTCCTCAGGATGCTCTCTATGGGTGACTGCCCAAGGAAAATGCCTGTATTTCGATGTCGGCTGCTGGGAAGTGAACCCTCCACCCTCCCAGGAGGAACACAGAGCCCTTCCCCTGCTTCCAGAGATGAGCTGTCCCTT